TTTTTATTTATTTTTTATACTGGCCCCCCGTGGGAATCGAACCCACAACCCTGGCGTTGCAAACAAGACAATGATTTGTTAGTCTTAAAAAAATAGGCTTGTGAAATATTTAGTAGTGAAAGTAATTAATTAAAAAACGAATCATGAACTGGGTTGATTTCACTTTAAATAGACGAGTATAAAATTGAACTGTGTCTAGGACGTGATATTCCACCGAGTGTGAATCAAAGCTTGGCAGTCCCACATCATCGTCCACACACACACACACACACACACACACACACACACACACACACACACACACACACACACACACACACACACACACACACACACACACACACACACACACACACACACACACACTTGTTTGACAAGTGCAGGTTCCATAGCTGTGACAAGACAATAAATGTTAAACTTTTACAGTAGATTGGCTTCAAAAACTTGAATGTGAAACTGTTGCAGTAGATTGTTGTTTGTCTAATTAAATTTTAATTTAGTTGTTTTAAGACTTAGAGTTTATATAGGGGCATCTACAGTAATGTATTATATATGGATCATAAGTCATGGACTATGAAGCATTAAAAACTGCATTGTTTCCACATATCTTCGGCCATGTAGCTATTTGTTTACTTTTGACATGCCTTACGCAGGAAAAATTCCAGTCTGACTGTGAACAAGTCTGGTTGGTTTAACATTCCTAACCTTATCCATTAGTGGGGGTAGAGGCAAAACTGAACCAAGATCAGCGGCTAGGGGCAACTTCAACCTGTTTCCCATTGACTGATTCTGTTGGAGGGTGTAGAATAGGCTTAAACATTAAACATCGCTGTGTTTTAGGGACTCAAACACCCATTGTGCCTGAAAATGTGCATATTTATTGAAAATTACTTCAATTGAAATTAATAAATGTTTGTTCAATAAATAAATATGTAATAATTGTTAGTGTATATATAAATATTTCACTTAAAACTAGTTAAGTGTAATATTCAATACCAATAAACTAACAACTGCAATGCTGTTGATATGGTTAGGGGGACAGGGATAGGGAATGGTAAGGTTAGGGCTAGGGTTAAGGTTAGTGAATAGTCAGTTGAACAATGTATTGATAGTTAGTTTATAAACAATTTGTAGCGGGACTTACAAACATAGTGTTGCCAATAAAAATAAGATTCAATATAATTACTTAAAGATTAGAATATGGCGTCAGAGAGTTTTATAGACAACAACATTATTATCTTGTACTTTGAATATTGAAATTAATCTGTTGTGTTCCATGCCTTTATGGAAAATCATATATTGACATTGACTAAACAAACTACAAGTTCAGAAGCTAAAATGTACATTTTGCTAAGGCAACATAAACTGATGTGATAGATTAACAGACTACATCCATAAAGTAGAGTGATGAAGAGGCTGAGCTGAAGAGGCACATGCAGGCAGACCTTGGAGAGAGGAAGACACTTCACCGAAACAAGACTGACTGAGATATCCTACTATTGAGTGAGAGGTGAGTGATAATTTTCACAGTAATAACTCAAAATAGTTACATTATTTGTATTGTTCTCCTGTATGTGTTTTCCCCTATTGCTAATGTAATTGAATAGTGTTATCTTTTGAATGCACGCTAACTGATACAATCCATTTCCACTAGCATTGCTACATTCTCCAAAAATGCTAAGCAGGAGATTTTCGACGTTGCTAAATAACCAGCTAATGAATTTTTAAATGGTTTTGTCAAAATGTTAATATAATAAAATATTATAAGCATTCATTTATTATTTGTCTTGTTTTGGCTAGTGATCTGTTTGTAGTTGCTAGTAATGACTGTAGCCAGTGTTGGGTCCCATAGGGCAGGAGCCTATCTCCTGTTTCTGTAGTTTGAGGCAGCTTGATGTACAATAAACCCCCCCTTTACAGGACACTAGGCTATCACAGGGCCTTACCCCCAATTCCTCTCCTTAAAGGACAATTCCACTGAAAAACGATATTTTGGTATTGTTTTTATTAGTCCACTGTTGATACAGTCCCAAAATGATTAGCATGTCATCAATCAAGTTTTCTAGATATAGAACTTTCAAAATACAGAAGGTGTCACAGTATGATGCGATTTGACACGTCAACGACAAGTTTGGACGTGTCATGCAACACATTTTAAAAGCCCACAACAAAAAAGCACCAATTAAATGTTTCCTTATCCTTACCGGTTCAGGAGGCCTAGTGTGGCATCTTGAACCATCAGCACTCTCATACCTGTGGGTCAAAACCAAGGAGTGTCTGTGTGTGTGTGTGTGCGTGTGTGTGTGTGTGCGTGTGTGCGTGTGTGCGTGTGTGCGTGTGTGCGGTGTGCGTGTGTGCGTGTGGTGGTGTGTGTGTGCTTGTGTGTGAATGTCCATGCATGCAGAGTTGGTTTTCCCTTGCAATTTCAGATCATGAGGACTTGAGGTGTGTGTGCATGTTTGTGCGTCATTGATCACGGTGCTCCTTGAAATGTATCAACATTCCACGTTGTCCATGTTTATTGTGGCCCTAAATTCATTATTCCTTCCCGTCTTCCATCGCCGATCTGTATGTAATTGTATAAGTGAGAGGAGGAGGAGAGGAGGAGAGGATGAGAGGAAAGGAGAGGAGAGGAGGAGGGGAGAATGGGAGGAAAGAGAAGAGGAGAGGAGAGGAGAGGAGAGGAGAGGAGAGGAGAGGAGAGGACGAGGAGAGGAGAGGAGAGGAGAGGAGAGGAGAGGAGAGGAGAGGAGAGGAGAGGAGGAAGAGAGGAGTGGAGGAAGAGAGGAGAGGAGGAAGAGAGGAGAGGGGTGTGTGTGTCCCACCATATTGACTGTACAAACCCAACCCTCTCAGGAATGTATTTGAACTAAGCCTTGGGTTCTTATTGTATGGACTGTTATTATGCAGTAGTTCACTTCCTATTTGACCTCTGACCTAACCTTACTTCCCCTCCCCATTCATATCTGCTTACCTCATAGCCATTACCTCACAGTTCTCTCATACTGTCACACTTTGTCAGTCATACTATCTCACACCGTCATACCATTAAGTCTAATAACATACTACTTAGTCAGAGCATGCCATGCTATGTACCTGGAAGAGGTCATGCGTGTGTGTTGGTGTTTGTTTGTGTGTATGTTCATGGTCTGTGGTGAGTTTGTTTCCAGTATGGTATGTGATTGTACGCATCAGTATGTTTGTGAGCCTGTACACGTGACACGACTAATGTTGCATTAGTAGATTAAAAGTCATAATTTGTCTGTGTGAACATTAGTTAGTTTGTAAGCATGTACGTATGCTGCTCTGCATGTACTCATTGTCTGTTTTGTCATTTGAATGTTTTTAATAAACTGCCCAGGGACTGCAGTTGAAAATTAGCCGCCTGGCTAAAAGAGGCACTTTTACAGAAATGACTATTAATGTGCACTGTCCCTTTAAAAAATACAGGTAATGTAGAAAAGTAAGTACTGTGTCGTGTGTGTGTGTGTGTGTGTGTGTGTGTGTGTGTGTGTGTTTGTGTGTGTGTTTGTGTTTGTGTGTCTGTGTGTGTGTGTGTGTGTCTGTGTGTGTGTGTGTGTGTCTGTGTGTGTGTGTGTGTGTGTGTGTGTGTGTGTGTGTGTGTCTGTGTCTGTGTGTATGTGTGTGTGTGTGTGTGTGTGTCTGTGTGTATGTGTGTGTGTGTCTCTGTGTGTGTGTGTGTGTGTGTGTGTTGTGTTTGTGTGTGTGTCTGTGTATCTGTCTGTCTGTCTGTTTGTCTGTGTGTGTTTGTGTGTGTGTGTGTGTATGTCTGTGTGTATGTTTGTGGTCTGTGGTGAGTTTGTTTACACTGTGGTTACTGTTCAGTATGTGGATATGTGTATGTCACAATAGCAGATTAAAAGTCACCACGAGACAATCTTGCCAGCTGAACTGGTACAGTATGATACTTGGTGTGGGTGGAAAGCTACTTACAGTGAATTACTGACAATCCGTCCCATTGTTGTTATTGGCTCTATTGTCTGTTATAGTGACATTTTGTTGTTAATGGCCATCTCCTGATAACTTAACTTATTCTACATTACAACAGGTAGGTAGGTAGGTACACTACTAATATGATATTCCAGTCCACACTATGTTTAAATTGAAGTTCTTTAAAGGTATAGTATGTCCTCTCTGTCTGTCTGCTTTGTGGAATCTGTCTATTGGTAACATGAGTGTTGTCAAACACACAAAGTGATGTCAAACAGGCGTGTTGATAATGATTCCCTTTCAACACTAGTGTGGGATACTATAATCCATGACAGTGTGGAAAATGTATATGAAATATATTAAAAAATATATAGTATTTCATAATACACACATAACTAGGTTCACAATATTGCACTTTCTTTATCTGGCTTGTTAATGAAAATAGGACATCCATATCTTAAACTTCTGTACCTCCAGACAAATGTAATGTTTTCAATTTCATCCATTGAAACTAAAGCTAGTATGTAATTTCTTGATTCACCAAATCTGGTGTCTAACCCTTTGGGCCACTTGACACAATCAAGATTTAATTCAAAAGATTGCCTGCCCTCCACTGTGTGAGGCTCAACTCAGCTAGATCAAACAAACAGAGCAAGAATAACGTGTTATTTGAGTTGGACAGGTGTGATTGGCACCGTGTAATTGGCCTGGAATTAATTATAGAATAAGTAAAAAGAAAATGATTAAATGCCGTTTCGCTTTGGATATGGATTATATTTAGGCCTAAATTGTATATATTGGTAGCTAACATAATTATATATTCTTATTTCCCTTTCTTTGCAAATAGCCGTGCCTATAGTCGCCAAGCATATTTAATACACAAATAAGTGAATGGATGAAATTTGAGCCAGGAAGATGGGTGTTTGGGAAAAGGGCGCAGTAACTGGAAACAATCTATTGTCGGATGCCAGGAGTAGGCTTAACAACATAATTGTTTCCATTGAGTGTCGTCGCCAGTTCACCCCTCCCCCGGGAAGCCTATGGTTTCACACGTACCTGCATGCTATTGTGATACCACCCCCCCCTCCCGAGTGCTGTTTTAAATAGCGAGAGGCAGGTGTGACATCGACACAAAGTCACATCTCCTTCTCTAGCGCACCTTACAGTAACCGTGAAGACAACTTGTTCAAGGAGAACCACGACGCTTTTCGATTCAATAAACCTTCCAAGTCAACAAATTACAGGTAACGTTTCCATCTCTTTTATCTGATGATGTGGATATATACAAAATAGCGATTTATTAGTTTTTATGTTTGTTTTTTCACGTTTCACTGCATGACGCATTTTCAACACTGACATAATGGTAGTTTATTATTTGCAGCTGTTCGCTTGATGAATTGGTAGCCTACACTATCAGATCATACATTATAAACGTTTTGGAATACGGACGTTTTTGTGGTTTTTTGTCTCATGATTTAATTTAATTAAGGGATCTACTAATTAACAGTGGTGGAAAAAGTACCCAATTGACATATTTGACTAAAAGTAAAGATACCATAATGGAAAATGACTCAAGTTAAAGTGAAAGTCAATCAGTAAAACATTACTTGAGTAAAAGTCTAAAAGTATTTGGTTTTAAATCTACTTAAGTATCAAAAGTAAATGTATTTACTAAAATATAGGTAGATAAAGTAAAACTATAAATAATTTCAAATGCCTTATATTAAGCAAACCAGACGGTAAAATGGTCTTGTTTTTTATTTGTGGATAGCCAGGGCACACTCAAATATAATCTACAAACGAAGCATTTTTGTTTAGTGAGTCCCCCAGATCAGAGGCAGTAGGGATGGCCAGGGATGTTCTCTTGATAAGTGCGTGAATTGGATAATTTTCCTGTCCTGCTAAGTATTCAAAATGTAACGAGAACTTTTGCGTGTCAGGGAAAATGTTTGGAGTAAAAATAACATTATTTTATTTCGGAATTTAGGCTAGTGAAGAAAAAGTGAAAGTATATTAATAGTAAAGTACAGATTCCCCCCAAAACGACTGAATTACTACTTTAAACTAGTTTTATTTAAGTACTTTACACCACTGCTAATTAATAATGTGAAAACAATTATGGTCTATTTTAATTCAACAATGTTACCCATTCACTAAGCAATGTTTTATTGTCTTATACACCACCATGAATTAATGACCAATCACCACACAAATGGTAGGCCTATGTTTATTCACTGGAATGTTAATGTTTTTATTCACGCTGGTATGATAGTTTCATATTGCCATTGATACAACTCAAAGCTTTTGAAATAAACTTAGTAGTATCATCATCAACATGTGCAAGCCCATAAATGTAAGCATAAGCATGATAGTGCAATGCATCTGACTGTTGATGATTACATTTGTAAATATTTAATTGTATTCGTCCTTAACAAATCAATTATTAGTAGTAGTAGCACTAGTAGTATATCCTAACCGTCTGGATCTCCGTTACTTTATCAGGAATGGACAATAGCAGCAGACTGATGTTCGCAGTCGTCATGGTAATAGCGTACATGGCGATGAGAGGCCAGACTCAGAACTCCACAACGGCCCAGAACGCCACAAATACAGCTAATACTACTACTACGGGACCCAACACAACAATGACTCTGACGACTGTGGCACCTATTGTCAACAACACCGTCACACCTCTCACAGTGAGTTGCCTAGGCTACTTGTCTCACTGGTCTCACAGAGTCTCTGACTAGAAAAAGGAACCACACATTTCCTCTCACTCTTTTTTTTCCTCTCAACAAATTATCACTACTTCTCTCCTCTTCTCTCTCTCTCTCTCTCTCTCTCTCTCTCTCTCTCTCTCTCTCTCTCTCTCTCTCTCTCTCTCTCTTTGCTCTGAATTCAAACTGTATTTAAAGTGAATTTGAAGGATTTCAGCAATAAACCTCACACACTGCCATGGAAACAGAAAACAGATTTAGCAAAGTACCTGTTTGGGAGTTTCATTTGCACTCATATACTACACTATTTCAAAAGGAATGACAAACATGACAGCAACTAATGATGAACTCTTCATACACAGGGAAACATCTTAAGGGCGGAATGTGGAAAGTCTCAGTTCTGTGCTGCTGTGCCAGACAACTGTGATCCGTCCGTGGCTGGTTCCTGTTTCTTCGTCTCCACCAAGCAGTCCTCGGGACAGACCTTCTCCTTCCAGCTACGAGGAGTGTCCAGCGGCTACATCGCTGTAGGCTTGTCCACAGACTCCATACAGGTATGGAAAACTGCCTTTAGAATTACTATACATTTTACAATACAAAGGACAAGGGAGTTGGGGTTGGAGAGAGAAGTCATTTTAACTTTAGGAAATTCAGGATTTTGTCAATTTGGGGTATTGACATTTACATTTTATTCATGAATTGGGAAGAAATTGCCAAAATGAATACTTTTAAAATTATTATTTGTTTATTTGAATTCATCCTCTCTCTCCTCTACAGGGTGGTAATGACACCACCTATGTGTGTGCCAACAACAACAGCATCGTCCAGTTCTTCACCACTCTCTTTGACAAAGGAGTTCTGACTGACACCAACACGGTGAGTTGGACCAATCAGAACACAGTGTTTAATTTGTGACTTTCTGGAAAGCCTTTCAGGGCGTGATTTGATTCCAGGCAAATTCAGGAAGTTAACTATATTCAATCAATGAGTTTGATGAGTTGGACAAGATATTGAGAGCACAAGTATCAGTATTCATGAACTTGAATTCTATATTTTCTGGATGGTCATTGAAGTTGGATTTGACCCCAATTCTCACACTTATTCCCTGCATATACACTTGGGTGCCATTTGGGAAACTGCCTGGGAGAATAACAGTGTACCTGACCAATTCTACAGTGTAGGCCTACTGACATTTGTCTAATGTTCATTTTGGTTAATGCTGTTGTGTTGTGTAGATGGCTGTGAACTCTGTTCAAGGCTCAGTCAACGATCAGATCATCCAGTGCACCTTCAATGCTACTGTCCCCAACGCTACGGTGACCACGAGCACCCGGGGCTCTGCCACTACCTTCTTCCTCATGATCTTAAAAGGGAACTTCACTAACGGTGAGGCACTTTTCCAAACACGCTGCGGGTGAAGTTTCCCCTAGGTACATATCTAGGATCAGCTTCCCCTCCCCAAATTCTCACATTAACCATTACTGGAGGAAATGCTAAACTGACCTCAGATCAGTGTATAGTGGTCCGTCTCTATCTCACCCTCTCTATCTCTATCTCTATCTCTCTCTCTCTCTAACTCTCTCTCTCTCGCTCTCTCTCCTTGTTCTCGTCCCTCAGGAATACTGGGTAGTCCCACTGCTGTCCTGTTCAGTAGTAAAGGGGTGGACCTGGGCAACCCCAACGCTACTGTGACCAACTCTTTGAACGCCAACACCACCGCTGGTAATGCCACCACTACTGCTGCTCCCTCCAGCCACGCCTTTGTCCTGCAGCACACCCTGTCTCAAGGTAATAAGCCCATAAGAAGCACCACTAACACTTTATAATGATAACTGATAACATGATTAAGCATTAATAAACTATTTATAAAATAATTTATAAGCATTAAAAGCACTGCAAGAACATGTATGACCATTCATAACATTGCAATTCATGGAAGTTATTATGTGTTACCGTAGTAACTCATCTCAAATAATCCCATGTTACTTAGAGTAGAAAACCAATATGAAAGGTTAAATAATTTTCTCTCTGTCTCTCTCTCTCTCTCTCTCTCTCTCTCTCTCCTCTCTCTACTTCTCTCCCTCTACTCTACTTCTCCTGTCTCTCTCTCTCTCTGTCTCTCTCTCTCTCTGTTCTCTCTCTCTCTCTCTCTTCTCTCTCTGTCTCTCTCTCTCTCTCTCCTTTCTCTCTCTCTCTCTCTCTCGCTCTCTCTACTTCTCTGTCTCTCTCTCTCTCACTCTACTTCTCTCTGTCTCTCTCTCTCTCTGTCTCTCTCTCTCTCTGTATCTCTCTCTCTCTCTCTCTCTCTCTCTGTCTCTCTCTCTCTCTCTACTCTCTCCTCCATAGCTCTCGATCCTGCTAGGTGTACTAAGTATGATGATGCTGTAATGCAGGTCTGAAAGTGAAGATGAAATGTCCCTTTAAGAAATAAGAAGTTTATGTGAAAACAGATCCTCCATATTTGTCTACCCCCATGTCATCCTCTACATGTAACTCATTTATTTGTACCAATTTTATTTTATTTTATTCTCTCTTTGCTGATATCGCGTTATGAAGGAAGACATGTTTGTCTGTGTTTCTTGGTGTAAGTGTTTGTTTCCGCACACATACCCCCCTCTGGGTACAGACGTCAATTCAACGTTAATTCAACGTCGGTTCAACATCATTTAATTGAAACGACGTGGAAATGTTGATTCAACCAGTGTGTGCCCAGTGGGCCATAGATGAAGTCACAAGGGCTGCGTTTAGACAGGCAGCTGATTTCTGATCTTTTTGCATCAGATCTTTATTCAGAGCTGATCTGATTGGTCAAAAGACCAATTAGTGAGAAAAAAAAAACAGAATTCGTCTGCCTGTCTAAACGCAGCCAAGGTGGCAGAAATTGGAATTTGTGGGTGTATACTGTGTGTATATACTGTGTGTGTGAGGGATTTTGTGTGTGTGTGAAGGCGTGCACAATGATGAAGCCACTGGATGGTGAACTGTTCCTCCTGATTACCCTTTTAAAGTATGTGCAATTATGGAAATATTTTTATTACCACATGTTTTAAATAAATACTTTTTACAATACATTGGATGTTTTATTATCTTTCATGGGTCTAATTTTATTTAATCTACTGACGACAAAAAAGGACAACATTTAACATACTGTAATATACACTCAACATCTGTACACAGGCTCAACAAGGGCCTAGTGGTTAAGAGTTTTGGGGGCCAGTAACTGAAAAGTTGCTGGTTCAAATCCCTGAGTCGACCAGGTGAAAAGATCTGTCTGTGCCCGTAAGCAAGGCACTTAACCCTAGTTTTTCTGTATAAGAGTGTCTGCTAAATGACTCAATAACGTTGAATATTTTTCAAGTCATGTTTGCTGAAATCCTCCGCATCTCTACAATAAATCAGGTACTTACCCTTAGTCTCTCAGACTTACAGAGACGAGCAGAGCTAGGATATAGTACAATAGAGAGGAAGAGAGCTAGAGCCTCGACTAGAGATGCTGATATCTGATAGCGATTCGCTCTAAGAGAGATGCTATATCTTCTCTGTTATATCCTCTCTATCTCTCTCTATATCTCTCTCTCTCTATCTCTATCTCTATCTCTCTCTCTGTTTTTGGTCCCAGCCACCCTATTTCCTACTTAGTGCACTCCTTTTGACCAGGGCCCTATATAGGGAATAGGGTGCCATTTGGGACGCAATCTCAGTGTCCTACTTGCTCCTATACTAATCCTAGCCAGCCTCAGACCTCACCGCAGGTCACTGAGGGATACAGTACATGACATGAGATAATGATTTGATTGGTTTGTATAGTCGCATTACCGGGCCAGTGTTTCCCAAACTTTGTCCTCGGGATCCCAAGGGGTGCACGTTTAGGTTTTTGCCCTAACACTACACAGCTGATTCAAATTATCAAAGCTTGATGATTATTTGAATCAGCTTTGTAGTGCTATGGCAAAAACCAAAACGTGCACCCCTTGGGGTCCCGAGGACCGAGTGGGAAACCCTGCATTTCCCTCTCTCTTCTTCTCCAAAAACATAGATTGACAGATTGGTTTCTTAGGCAAAAATAAAACACAAGAAAGCTACATTTAAAAGTGCATCCATCATTTAATTGAATTCAACAAAAGAACATGTGAATCTTACAGAGAAGTCATTTCTATAGCCCAGATCAGATCAGGTAAATATGAATAGCTATGTATCAATAAAGAGGCTCTGCTTTTAAACATTTAAGTAAAACCTCTTGTTTTCCATTGTCCTCTTTAGGGCGCTTTCAAAAGGAAATGGATTGTCCATGGCAAAGTGCATTTCATATTATGATGTTGTCATCCAAAGTCCCGGCACCATTGACAACACCAACAGAACATATAATGAGCGGCGATTAGTTGTTTCCCGCTGTCACTCATATCGGGGTTGAACAAAGGTAACACTCTCTCAGTGAACTGGTTTCCCCGTGAACTAATAAATAGGTGACCTGCCCATCACATGACACCATCCCCTCACCGTCAACCACAAACACCCTTCACCTTCCACGGTTTCTCTCCTAGGTGGATTAACACAGACTGTCTGTACTCACTTCCTCTCCTCAAATATATCATCCAATAGCCCTCCTCGGGGCTCAACGTGACCACGCCCTTCCTGTTGATGGACTCCATGGCCACGCCTTGCTCCCAAGCTGACTCGTCTCTGACCTGGACCAATTGAAAAAGTATAACTCAAACACTTATAGTCTTGTAGTAGCATTTCCAATACCTATAGGTAAGGTTCCTATAGGATTACCTATACCAACAGTATCACCAGGTGCATGGACAGAAACGGTATACTGAAAAATAAAACAAACTCCAGCCCTTTGGTGATCCTGATGCTCCACAGATTTAATGTCTTTTAACAATTATTTTTGTCTCAACAGACCTTAATCAGGTAAAATGGTTTTTCAATTTCAGTACAAACCCACCTCAACCTCCCAGTAGGTCCGGGAGGCTCTGCTTCGTGTCCCCATCCAAGACCATCTTACCATCTTCAGACAGGACCAACCAGAGGTTGGCAGTGCTCGGGTGCAAGGATACGTCAACTATGAGGAGACAGAAGATAGATAAGAAAACTTGAAAAAAAAAAAATCTCAGTGCTCTGGCTTACACGGTCGAAAGGTAACAACAAGCATTTAACAAACACATTGAACTCTACCACAGGAAACAGGACAAAGACTTTAGACATGAAACATAACATCCTGTAATACACAATGTATCCAGTATCGAGAAAGAGACACTGACCTGTAGGAGGTGGAGGTGGTCCTCGGTGTGTTACAGCCGCTCCAGCTCAGTGCTTCTCCTCTTTAGCTCAGTGATTTCCTGCTCCAGTTCTTTGATGAAGTCTTCAGGCTGCCTCTCTGCTGCTTTCTGCTTCTCTTCAATCACCTCGATGAGCTCAGCCTGGCGTCTCTCGATGCAGTGCACCAGAACAGTGAAGACCTGCACTCCATCCTCCATCTTCTCTTTCTTTGAACTTATCTGATGAAATAAAAAAAGTGGTTGGTCTAAGAATTGAACCTTGTGATACCCAACCTAGAAAATCACATTGAAGACTTGCATACTATCCTTTATCTCTTTCTTGGAACTGGTCTGATGACAACAAGGAAATACTGTAGAAAAACATTCACATTCTGTTGTGCTAATGGAACTGAACCAGCAATAGTAGATAAACATTATGCAACATGCTTATCATGAGAACTTACTATGTTAAGCTATACAAAGGGTTTGATCTCCTGCACATTCTTCAGTCTGACCTGGATCATCTGATGCACCTCTGCCTCACTCTTCTTCATCAGAGCCTAGGAATCAGAACCAGAATTGGAATCAGAATCAGAAATGGAATCAGAATTGGAACCAGAATTAGAACCAGAATTGGAATCAGAATCAGGAAATTACCATAGCCATTCTACCATGTGGATATGAATTTGTCTTGGCTAAAAAGACAACAAACCACATTGAAATCATGAAGCAGAAAGAAAATAAAAAAGAAATAAACGATTTAGTCAAAAAGAAAGTAGAATGAGAAAATGACCTACATGGCTTTACTCTCTCTCTCTGCCGGAACAATGTCGTGAGCTCTGTGGTCAGTGTCCATGCACAGCACACACACACATGTCTGGTCGCTCCTACAGAACAGCTCCAGGAGCCTATCATGCTTCTTACACATCCTGTCCTCCAGGTTCTCCACAGGGTCGATCAGCTTGTGTCTCTTCAGATTCACCACTCTCTGATGAGGCTCCAGGTGAGTCTCACAGTAAGAGGTCAGACATACCAGGCAGGACCTCAGGGCATTGAGCTTCTTCCCCATGCAGACGTCGAAGTAGAGCACACCTCCAGATTTGACACCAGATTGCTTGACTGTTCCGTCTATTCATTTCTTTAGCAAGTGAGTTCTAGAGGAGATCAGGGCATCCTTTCAACACCCTCTTACATTTGGGACAATGGCAAACGTCACTGCTTTCCCTAGTGACTCTTAATACAGGCCAGGCAGAAACTGTGGCCACATGGGATGGAGACTGGCTCAGTGAAGACTTCCAGACAGATAGAGCACTGGAACTGCTCTTCAGATAATAGACCACTGGGAGAAGCCATGTCTTCTGGTAGAAACATTTAAAGAATGGAACACCGTTTCAGAGTGACAGCCTAAAACAAAGCAGAGTCTTCTAAATGAATTTCCACTGTAAATGAAATTTAAAAAAACTCCCTAATTTGAACACTGGACAAATATCTAAAACTTATTCTAATCCTATTTATAAAGTGGGTGGTTCGAGCCCTGAATGCCACCGTATACCACGGGTATTGACAAAACGTTTATTTTTACTGCTCTAATTACGTTGGTAACCAGTTTATAATAGCAATAAAGCACCTCAGGGGTTTGTGATTTATGGCCAATATACCACGGCTAAGGGCTGTATCCAGGCACTCCTTGTTGCATGGCGCCTAAGAACAGACCGTAGCCGTGGTATATTGGCCATATACCACACCCCCTCGGGCCTTATTGCTTAATAAAACACTATGGACAAATATCTAAAACATCTTATAATCCTATATAAAACAATATGGACAAATATCTAAAACGTTTTCTAATCCTATATAAAACAATATGGACAAATATCTAAAATGTCTTATAATTCTGTATAAAACAATGTGGACAAATATCAAAAATGTCTTCTAAACCTACAGAAAAAACTATGGACAAATATCTAAAATGTCTTCTAATCCTAAATAAAACAGAAAAAGTAAATCAAAGAGTTAACTCAAACTCATACATAGCTCACATGCATGCGGCTGCTTTTACGACAAACCATGACCTTAAAATTCTATTCATTAGTGCACACACTAGCAAAACAATTTGCAAGAAAACTCCTGCATCCCTATGTGATGTCACTTACCTTGGCTGACAGGATGTTGACCTCTCAGGTGGCAGAGTAGAGTTACTCAGGTTCCGCTGTGTGTCAATCAAATGCTGAGGTAAAGTTTATCCCCTCCCCTTTCTACAGTGCTGTATGTATGATACTGTGTCTGCCTCCCCATTTTTAAACCTCTTAAATATAAAGTCCCCATATTTGGGGATACTATTCCTTTTTAAAAATTCAATTCAGTCTGGAATGGGAACGATAGCCTCTATCTGCAAAAGCGGGGTGTCTGCGGAAAGCTGAGTATCTTGGCTATTGATAGGTGCCTTCAAATCTTTGGTAGGTTTTACTCCCATATATGGGCATATGGATTTATAAGTGCCGGCCGAGTCGATGACCTCATTTCAAGATGGCTGCTACCTACATTCCATTTAGCGTTGTGAAGCATAAACTAAATAAACACGGAATACGTTGATACACACCGAAAGCCGGGACTCCACAGATCATGAGGATATCTTATTTGTCTGCCTGTGACCTACCGTTATTGATCACCAGACCCGAGACTCTGTTGTTTATTTTACACAATGTTTTCACCAAACCGCAAACATCTTACAAGGTAAGCTTCGATTTGGTCTGTGTTTGAGCTATAGCTACATGGGGGGTATCAAATTAATCCTTAGATTGGTAGGAACAAATCTAGCCTATTGCCAATGTTATCTGATGATTAATGGCAACATCGAATGTCCATCGAGTGACTATATCTTCGAGCATCAAACATATGATGCCTGCTGTAGGCATCCATATCCCCTGTATGTCCCCCGACACCACCACAATGTTGTAGAGAGGTTGATGTTGTAGAAATTTAGTTTTTATAGTGAAAAATAACTTTTAGGCACATCCAGTGTGCAAAAACAGTGCAATTACCACATTCAGACACTTTTTAGAGTTTGAAAGGACACTTGAATGTACCCTGGATACCCCATAACACCACCACAATGTTTTAGTGAGGTTGATATGGTAGAAATTGTGTTTTTATACTGAAAAAATAGCATTTAGGGATTGCAAAAATGTAATAGCACTGGAATTATCTAATTTACAGACATATGCCACTTTGGAGAGGTTTAGGGACACTTGGAAACGTCCCGTGACCACACCTGACACCACTTACTAAAACATCTGCCCATTTCTAGTTGTTAAGTCTATCAATCCCATTTTTTGTTGTGGAAGCCATCTGATGTGTTTCCAGCACTAGCAATCAATAAAATACTTATAGCTTGTCAATGAAAGATGACTTTCAAAATAAAAAATATAATAATGGTTATTTAGTGTGTGCTTGATCTTGTGGATTCTGAACTATGTAACTCCTATCTATCTTCTGATCATTTCCTCATCATCTCCCAGATGTCTTCTTTACAAATATACCACGTTTTTGCAAGTCAGAATCATGTAATTACACATGAATAGCAGTTACTTTTGTGTGTGTCTATTCAGGCAGAAATCTACATTTTTGCCATTACATTTAAGAGGTTCCCTATCCACACCAGAAAGGTCTGCTACGCAGACATTCAGAAGAATAAATCATTTTATTTTCAAAAGATGCAACATAAGTTTCCATGATTTGTCAAAACCAAATTCCTATCCATAATAAACATACAATTCTTGTTAAAATATAGTCATAAACCTATATGATTTTACTTCAAAGGTACAGAACATTTATTATGGTTAATGCAAATTCAAACAACTAAAAGTAGATATTTAATTCCTTATAGTTACAGTAGATCATGTGGTAAGAGTGTAATCTGCAAGATAATCTGTTGTAAAGCATGTGTGTAATCTATCTCTGTGATCAGGTTTGCATTCTGTCCTGTCTGGGTTTTCTCTCCAGTGTCCTCATCCTCTTCCCCCTGACACCTAGCTCTGAACAGTTCTCAATCGCAGTGTAAAGTCCCCTGGCAGCCCTCGTCTGATCAGTTCCTCACGAAGCTGGAATACACACATAATTACATAATTTACTAAATGTTTTATTGCTACTTTCCCTCTCCTCTTCACGCTCCTTCCCCCTCATTCACTTTACTTTCCATTTTTATTCAATATCCTTATTTGTTCAAGCAAACTTACACTTAAATCCCATTGATGAGTGAGGTTTTTCCTCATCCTCTAATCATTTTTGGATCTGAATGATTCATAATTAATTATAAAATGATATGTTTAACAATGACTCTCACCTGCTTCAAGATCTCAGATTCGGTTAGATTTGTTGTCGAGGTTAATTTCACCCTCAGTACAAACTTATATCCTGTAGAGACACAATGAGTCAATAACACGAACGAGCATGAAACAAAGAGACTGACAGACAGACAGACAAACAAACACATACTGTACTGTATGTAAAAATGAAGGGACGTGACAGGGTTGACCTCTATTACCAATTTGATTAGATATTAAGCACAGTAAATCACACTTACCAGGTCCACTATTGAAGTAGGCATTCAGCCAGGACAGGTTGTGCCAGCTCTCCGCTCCAGACCTCCAGTACACCTCCACAGTCCGGCCCGGCCTGTTCCTGCTCCTCGCACCAAGCCAGTGGTGTGGTTCGCCAGTCCGGCCCGGCCCGTTCCCGCTCCTCGCACCAGACCAGTGGTGCGTGTGTCAAGTCCGGCACGGCCCGTGCCCGTTCCACCGGTGCCTGGTCCGGCACCGGTCAGCGGCTCC